TGAACTGTCCTATGGAGAGGCACATGTGACAAGGAGCTGAAGGCAGCCTCTGGCCAATAGCCACCAAGGAATGGAATCCTGACGACAATCATGTGACTGAGCTTGGAAATGGGCCCTTTTCTAGTTGAGCTTTCAGTGAGACTGCAGCCCCTGCTGGCATCTTGATTCTGGCCTTGAAAGAGAAAGATCCTCTTTCTCTCTCTTTCTAAAAATCAAAACAAAACAAAAAACCCTCATAACCTCACAAGGTTATAATTAGAGATATTTATCCTTCTCTGTAAAGAACAGCCCAATATCTAGGCTTTTGCTTAGCCTTTTTTTTTTTTAAGATTTTATTTATTTATTTATTTATTTATTTATTTATTTTTAGAGAGGGAAGGGAGGGAGAAAGAGAGAGAGAGAGAGAGAAGCATCAATGTGCGGTTGCTGGGGGTCATGGCCTGCAACCCAGGCATGTGCCCTGACTGGGAATGGAACCTGTGACACTTTGGTTCGCAGCTCCCGCTCAATCCACTGAGCTATGCCAGCCAGGGCTGCTTAGCCTTTTTTTTAAAAAAAAAGCTTTATTGGAGAGAGAGAGAAAACAAGCAAGGAAGAGAAAGAGAAACATCAACTTGTTGTTCCACTTAGTTTTGCGTTTATTGGTTGATTCTCTTATGTGTCCTGACTGGGGATTGAACCTGCACCCTTTCTGTATGTGGACAACTATCTAACCAATTGAGCTACCCAGCCAGCCTACTTAGTCTTTCACAAATTTGGTTATTGGGAGTCAGAGCCCTACAGTATCAATCCCAGATACAATGGATGATGAGACTGAATTTGTATATCTGATTACTAACAATTATTGTTACGCTTATGATGATTTAGGGTCTATGTTAAGTACTTTATGTATATTACATAATTTAAAAACACAGACCAACCTGATAGGAAGTTAGTTATTATTAAGATCTTTTATAAATGAGGAAACTGAGTTTAAGCAACTTGCCTAAGATCCTGTCAGAGGTCAACTGGGAGTCACATGCAGGATCATTCATTTCCATTGTCTGAGTTTTTAGCCACCGAACTATAGCATCGCCCGCAGAGCTTGAGATCAAAGTCTGCTTGCGATGGTGAGGATGTGCTTGAGTGGTCAGCTGGATTCCTTATCCCTGCCATTCATCCATCCAGCCATCCATCCACCCACCCACCCTCCCATCCCTCCCTCCAATGAGCTGTTCAATCAGCCATGGAATCTGCTATGGTCTGAATGTTTGTGTCCCTCCAAAATTATGTGGAATATATGTGGAAATCCTAACCCCTAAATTGACAGTATTAGGAGGAGGGGCCTTTGGATGGTGATTAGGTCATGGGGGCAGGGCCCTCATGAGTGAAGTTAATGCCCTTCCAGAAGAGACCCAAGAAAGCTAGCCTCCTTGCCTGTCTCTGCCATGTGAGTACACAAAAAGAAGTCTGCAGCCTGGAAATGGGCCTCCATCTGACCATGCTGATGCTCTGGTCTTGCACTTCCAGCCTCCAGAACGGTAAGAAATAAATTTTTGCCCTGGTTGATGTGTGTTTCAGTGGACTGAGCACTGGCCTGTGAACTGAAAGTTTGCCAGTTCAGTTTCCAGTTAGGGTACATGTCTGGGTTGCGGGCCGGGTCCCTGGTTGAGGGCATGTGAGACGTAACCGATCCATATGTCTCTCATACACTGATGTTTCTCTCCGTCTCTTTTTCCCTCCATTCCTATCTCTCTAAAAGTAAATAAATAAAATCTTTTAAATATAAATAAATTTCTGTTTTTTATAAGCCACCACATCTGTGGTATTTTGTACTAGCAGCCAGAACAGACTAAGACACCATCCAACCATCCATCCACTCCTCCATCCATCCATCCATCTAACCATCGAGCCACAAATACCAAAGTTCTTCTCTATGCAGATTCTGGGCCAGGAGGATGCCGAATACAGGAGTGACCAGGATACAACAGCACTAATGGAAGCTGGTTCTCACTAGATTTAGAACTCCCGGGGACAGCATCTCTTGCTTTTGTATCTGTAGTGCATAAAATATGATTTAGTTCCTGTCTTTTTCAGTCTTATCTCACCTACTTATGTTGCTGTTTTTCTTCAGTCACACTGGTCTCCTTTCCATTCCTGGAATGAGACCTCTTTGCCTCAGGACTTTTGTAATTGCTGTTCCTTTTGACCCAAATTGTCATCAAACAATGTCAGCAGCTGGCTCTTTGTTATCTTTTGCATCTTAGCTAAAATGTCGAGTCCTCAGTTAGGTTTGTTCTGACCACATTATCTAAAGTAGACACTCTCCCTCCCCAGCTATTCCCCATCACCCTACCCTGTTTATTTTATTTCTTTAAGGCATTGCTCACAATCTGTAGTCATTGCGTTTCTTTCTTACTTATTTTCTAGCTTCCTAATCAGAAAAATAAACCCTAGAAGGCCAAGTACTAAGACTTTCATGTGTTTTTTTGTATGGCTTCTCCCTCCCTAGCCCAGTAACTGACACATAGTAGGCCTTCAATATTTATTTGTTGGAAAGAAATTTATGACCAGATCTCTCCAGTAATAGGAAGCTCGAAGAGTAGTAGAAAACAGACCTCGAGAGAGAGAGTAGAACACAGGGGACCTTGAAAGACAAGCAGAAGAGGGTACACTTGACGTGAACATCAGGAGCTAGGAGAAGCTCTTGAGTTGCAGAATGAAGAAATGATTTAGGAGGGTGACTCGGTAAGCCACAATTTGCCATAAATCCTTAATTTAAATAATTCACTGGAGTGTCTTGCAATGAATTATAGTGATGAGAGCTAATAAGGTCCTAGGACCTGGACTATTTTTCTCCCTGTAGGAGAGATTATACAATGTGGGAACTCAGTGTGGGTCTAGGAGTCTCATAGAACTGTATGTTGTGTTTAATTAATTGATAATGGTGAACTATATACAAAGTAACCACAGTGAAAACCCTGTAAGGTGGGATCCATGTCTGTTTACTATAGGCTTCAGACTTGCAGGAGATAAATTATTGTTCAATAAATGAGTGAATGAAACAATCATGCACTTAGAAAGACCTGGGTTAGATAGGATTTGGTTCTAGCCATCTGTGTGACCTTTAAAAATATCCTTAACCTGGCGTAGGTCAGTTTCTTTATCTGTGAAAGAGAAAAAAGACTTAACTCACAGGATTTTAAATGAGAGCTTATGGGAAAATCGTTGGCACAGAGTGGACACTCAGTAAATTCATTTCCTTCTGTTATTCTGGAGATGCTGAACCTACCCTGACAGGGATTTCCTACTGGCCTTTTCCCACGTCCTGTGGCTTGAAACAGAGCATATGGTGATATTTAGTTTTTGCTTTTTTCAGTCCTTCCATTGTAAATCTGGAATCGTGACTCTGCAGTTTATAAGCTGAGTAATCTTGGGCACCATCTTTGTGCCTCAGTTTCTTTAAAATGGGCATATAATAATAATGCTTGCCTGATAGGAATATTGTGAAGATGTAAGGATTAAATGAGATGGTATCCTAAGTGTCTGTGCAGTACCTGGTACATAGTAGGCACTCAGATAGTAGGCATTAGCTGTAATTCTTTAGAATCTTATTTTTACTCTCCTCAATACTGGCCACTTTTCTCCACCCCCTCCTGTAGGAATTCTCAGTGACTACAACCTCTTCTGGAGAGGACACTGACTCTAAGGTGCGATTTGAGAGAAATGGGTACAGTCGCTTCTTCCAGACATGCAAACCAAGAGACTTCAAGTAGGAATAGAGAAGTTGGAGCTTCATGACACTGAAGAGAGGCACTCTTTGTATCTGTGGCATATGAGGGGCCAGGAAAGAAAAACCGCTGAAGCAAGAAACCAGGTGCAGCTCCTTTCCAATGATTTTTGAGAGAACAGGCAGAGGTAGCAGGGAAGCCCAGCAGTGCTGCAGGACTGCTGCTTTCTGGAACTTCGATCCCCTTAACCCAGCGATTTTCAATTGGTGTGCTGAAAGAATTTTTAAAACACGCGACACCTGACTGTTTGTTTAGTCAGGGGTACTGATTCTTTTCCCTTAGATTGTCAAATTAAAATAAAATGACAACAGCCAACAACAATAGCCATTTGGTGGGAATGAATAAAAAATTATACCAATTTTTTTTGTTAGAGCTGCAAAATATATCTTTTGGTGTGTCTCAGAATTTTAGGATTTAGTTTATGTGTGCCATGAGATGAAAAAAGTTGTAAATTCTTGGCTTAATACATTGTGTTTTTGTCCTTCCTCTTTTCATGAGCATTTTCCTAGAAAGTGAAGTCAAAGAAAACATTCTTTCCTTGTGTGGGGCTGGAGCGCCTACCATGAGGTTACAGAGAACGTCTTGCACATCTTTTTATCCTCAGCACGCAGCTCAGTGCTTGGCATAAAAGGAAATCAAAAACTGTTTTCAAGAAGTGTGTGTAGAATTATTTTCAAACTTTAGTTGTCCTTCCCAAGAAAACTTGTCATGCTCACAAGCAGCCGCAAGCAGGTCCGCGCCTAGAAATAACATTTATTCTAAGGACCTCTGCGCAGGGATTCTTGGGAAGCAGTTTCTCTCCCGCATTCGCTTGTTACTCCTCCCCTCCGTCGCCTTTGAAAGAACCAGCAAGCCACGTGACTCCCTCCTTTCCCCCACCTCTGAAAGCCTGGCTGATAACTGGCAGGCGCGTAGGCCAACCATAGAATTTTATCTCCTCTTCCAGCCAATAGAAAGAAGCGATACGTATATGGCTGAGCTTTTTGACTTCCCCCGCCCACTTTGAGCTCGCCCCTCCACTCCTCCACTCTGATTCGACATTTGACAACTTATCTGGCCAATGAGAAGTTCCTACTCTGCATGGGCGGGGTGACTGACTGGAAAATAGACGTCCGGGCCTGGCCAATGGAATACCACAAGTGAGGGAGGAGTGTAGGACAGAACCAACGGCGCGGTGCCAATAACGAGCATCAGAGAAAGGGCGGGACGAAACTGTTCGCGGGAGGGAGGGGAAGGCCCAGGGAACCAAGCAGCGCTGCCGCCACCGCCGCTGCAGCCGGAGTTGGAGGAGGGAGAAGCTAGGAAGAAAATGGCGGCCGTGGCTGCAGAGGCGGCAGCGACAGCAGCGTCCCCCGGGGAGGGGGGCGCCGGCGAGGCCGAGCCGGAGATGGAGCCCATCCCCGGCAGCGAGGCCGGTACTGACACCCTCCCGGTCACCGCCACTGAAGCATCTGTGCCGGACGGCGAGGCCGACGGGAAGCAGTCCTCCCCTCAGGCCGACGAGCCTCCGCTCTCGCCGCCGCGGGAGCTCGCCCGGAGCCCGGAGGCGGCGGGGCCGGAGCTGGAGGCTGAGGAGAAGCCCGCCCGGGCGGTGGAGCCGGCGGTAGCCGCCCCTCAGGAAGGGCCTGACCTTCCACCTTCCCCAGCACCGCCGCCCGAGCAGCCCCCGGCTCCCGAGGAGTCCCAGGAGCCGCCGCTGCCCCAGCCCGCAACCCCGGCGCTCGTGCCGCCCGCGGGCGGGGACTCCGCCGTGTCGCAACTCATCCCCGGCTCGGAGGTGCGGGTCACGCTGGACCACATCATTGAGGACGCGCTCGTCGTGTCGTTCCGCCTAGGGGAGAAGCTCTTCTCCGGGGTTCTCATGGATCTGTCCAAAAGGTACCTCTCCCACCCCCACCACGCCCCTTGGGCGCCCAGGTCCGCTCGGTCCCCAGGGAGGGTGTGTGCTGGGGTGGCCCCTTCACCCCGCCTGCCCGCCACCCCAGTGTCCCGCTGCCCGCATCGCCTTCGGGTCCCGCGTGGCGCGCGTTCCGAGTGGGGCCGGCGCGGGAGGCCGGGAGGGGGCGGTCCCTGCCCCAGGTGAGCGCCTGCAAGCGCAGGTGTGACACCGGATGGGGTGGAGGGTGCACCGCGGGCTCGCGGGTCTCGCCCCTCGCCTCTGGTCTCCCTCCGCGCGACTCACCCACACTGGGGCGAGGGAGGGGGTGGCTAATGCAGAACACGGAGGGTTTTTTGCGGAAAACGGGGTGCTGGGGTGGGGAGATTGCTTGTGAGGCACTTCTGTTCTCAAATTAACCTTTAATGAGGTTGGGGAAAGGGGTGTGCGCACTGGAGTTCCCAAAAGGTTACCTGTCACTCCTTACAGGGGAAGAGCGTTTGTTTAAAATGTGCTTTTTGACGGTTATTCTTAACTGTTAGCACCAATTCTGCTTAGATAATTGTTCGGCAGGAAACCCATTTGACTAATTATGACGATAGTTGTAAGGAAGGTCTAAAGAAAAGGTACTTTTTTAATACCTTCAGTATCAGGATGGTATGTTATAAAAGCGTTCGATTACTGACTTACAAGACTGTAGATATAGTTTGAACTTTTGTATTAAGGACAAGAAGGTGGAGTTCACCCACAAACCTCTGTCTTCGCACATTTTCATCTTTTAACAAATGGTTACGAGCATTGTTTTTAAACAGGTAGAAGAAGATAGTCTAAGTCTAGAGTTAAATTAACCTTTTTACTCTTCTTTTGCAGATCTGAAGTGCAGACTCCCATTCACGGCTCTCCATTCTGTTTCCTGCAACAGCACACACACACTGATGGCATCTCACCTGTGTGGAAATGGCTTATTTTAGTATGTTTCACTTTGAACTTCTTGTCCTTCCATCAAGGCACAAGAATTCTTTCCCATTTGGGAAAAAAAATCTATTTGAAATACATTCTGAAGTATGATGTTTGGGGAAAAAAAGATGGGGAGCCTTTACAATTATTTATGCATGCTGTTTAATCTCAATTTTTAAAAGAGTTTTTAAAAAAATGCTGACTTTGGACTTTTGCGTTTTTATTTTCATAGTTAGCAGCATAAGACCAGTGGGCTTTCTACTGATGTATTTAACATCATTCACTACATGATGATGTAGTGAAAGAGAGACTTAGTAGTGTGTATGCTATTGTATCAAACAGAAGTGAAGGCTGGTGATTGTGTGAGAATCTGGATTTCAAATCTGCAAAAGGAGGGTGCAAAACGGTAAGTTGTTTCTAGAAATGGAGTGGATGGTGCTTTCCTGTTTTGAGGTGCTCATGGTGGTTTTATTTTTTTAATTTTCTTTGTGAGCGAATTGCAATTTATTTTTTAAGTTTTGATCTATTTTGCTAACAGTGTTTCTTATAAACAGCAATTTCTTTTACTGGGGAAGATATTTTTATTATTAACCTTTAACTTTTTAATACTTTCACTTCAAAACATTAACATGTAAAAGGTTAATAATAAAGTATTTAAAATACCAGAATGGGAAACAACTTTTTATTCAACAAATATTTATGGAGCACAGCTGTATGTGAGACCTTCCCAAGTGTTCCTGGTTCATTGTGCTTCACAGGTGTTGCTCACAAGCTGAAGGCCAAGCCCTCCGCCACGAAACAGATTAAAACTTACTTTATGCGATACCCACTTTATTACAGCGGGCTGTAACTGAGCCACAATATCTCAGGTATATCTGGGTATGTATTAGGCACAGTTTCTGCCTTCTGTTAATTTGCCTGGGAGGCACCCATTTTAGAAGTGGTGAGGAAATTAAATACAGCGTTTTTAAAATTTAGTACTTTAAGGAATTATTATTGGATCAGGACTTGACTAACTGGGTATCCCTTTTTCATAATATAATTTGGAAAAGCGAAACTGCCAGTATTTGTGTAATCTGTGCTCATCTTGACTGCATACTTCCATGTGTACTTTGGGCTAGCTGACTGTCCAGGAGCCACCCTTCACAGACTGCCAAGACCATAGCCGTAGTCATCAGTAGCTTTAAGAACAGTTGGTGTCCTATTTGAATTTGGCCATTGAAGTAAACCTTTAGGTAAAAATGAGCTTCCTGTTGAGTGCCTTTTATGTGTCAGGCCTTGTACCACATGCTTTATTTAGTCTTTATAACTCTCGTGGTGTTTTCATTTATATGGGAGGAAACTGAGGTTCATTTGATTTGGGAAGTCATTTAGCTTATAAATGACAAAGGAGAGCTACAAATATAGGTTGATCTGAATCTAAAAAGTCTATAGTTCTACTTTCATGTTAAAAAGCCAGTTGGGCTGGCAAATTTTCTTTTAAGTAGTAAGTAAAAAATTGCATATTTCTGAAATTTAGTGCTGTTCTCGATTTCAGTAGCAGTCTGGGGTACTCCAAGGCTGTGGGTGTTAGAGCCCAGGAGGTTTTCAGTCAGCTAATCACCGTGGAGCCTTCTGCCTGGAGACTCCTCCCTTCCCCAGCTGTATGCTGGAAGGCACAGTGGGCTCCGAAGTCTTGGTTCTTGTCTGTTGTGTGATAGTCGGAAAGAATTAACATTTGTGACACCACTAAGCGCATCAATGTGTATGCACTTTCTTCAGTCTAAAAAAAGGCTAGTTACTGCTTTTATTATTTTATTCTAACATTGTGCATGGTAGACAAATGTCTTTCAAGGTTGGAAGAGTTGTTCACCATGTAGGAAGCACTTGATCCTAGATTACAGGATTCATATATATATATATATATATGTGGATTGATCAAGAGTCTGCTTTTGTCAAGTATTTGACATTTTCCCTTTTCTGTCATTGTATTATTCTTATTTTTAAATTATAGTTTTTAAAAGATTTTATTTATTTAGTTTTAGAGAGGGGAAGGGAAGGAGAAAGAGAGGGAGAGAAACATCAATGTGTGGTTGCCTCTCATGCGTCCCACACTGGGCTGGGGAGCTGGCCTGCAACCCAGGCATGTGCCCTGACTGGGTTTGAACCGGTGACCCTTTGGTTCGCAGGCTGGTGCTCCATCCACTGAGCCACACCGGCCAGGGCTCATTGTATTACTTTTTTTTTGCCTTAATTTTAGACTTAGTTGATTGAAGAACACAGTTTTTTTTGACTAGGTATTATTTATTGATTTGAGAGAAGAAGGGGAGAGAGAGAGAAACATTCTTTTATGCATTCATTGATTCTTGTTTGTGCCCTGACCAGGGATTAAACTAGCAACCGTGGCATATCAGGACAACGCTCTAAGCTGCCCGGCCAGGGTGAATAGCACATTTTTGAGGATAATCTTTTTATGGGAAAAAGGAGCAGGACACAGGTCATTAAAAAACAGAACGAAAAGTGGTTCTGAATAGTGTAGATCTGGACAGTGTCAGGGTACTTGGGATTTAGGACTGGCCTCCGATTAGCACTGTGAATTTGGGTAAATCTGTGCCTCTCTGGACTCCAGTCTCTCTAGTTCTTCTGAGGCTAATTCATTTTGACTTTAGGCAGCTGACAAAAGTCAGCTTGTTTGTTTAAACACAAACAAGCAAACAAGCCTTGTCTCAGTTTAAGTATATGTAAAGTGAACAGGGTGGCCAGTCGATCTGGTTTTCCTGTCTCATCCTGCTTTGATGGTTACTTCCTCCTTTTATTCTTCAGTGTAGGTTGCTGTGGCTGATAACCCTAAAAATGAGGATATTTGAATATCAGGTTAAAAAGATTTTATGTATCATAGTATTTATTGGAAACTGAAGGCCTTTAAAATGAGCAGTGCATTCTCTAGTTTACGCTGGGCTCTTCCACTGTTTTATACCCAGCTTTCTTAGGTAGTTAAATTACCTGCCTATTGCTAAAATCAGACAATGGTGTAATACTAATATAAAAATAATCAGCTAACCCACAAGTTCAATTTAGTTTTTCTATTTCTTTTTCTTCTTTAACATTATGCTTTTGAGATTTTGACGTGTACATTTGTTTCTTCATTTAGTATTATATAATAAGCATTCCTTCAAGTTGTTAATTGTCTTTTTCAAGTTTTTTTAATTGGTTTTAGAGAGAGGGAAACATCAATTTGTTCTACTTATTTATGCATTTATTGGTTGATTGTTTTGCCCTGACCAGTGATTGAACATACAACCTTAGTGTATCAGGACACTGCTATGACCAACTGAGTACCCAGCCAGGGCTAGTTGTTAAACTGTCTTAATGATTATTTTAAACAGAATAATAAGTCAGTAGTTGTATCATAATTTTTATTTAATTTTTTATTATGGGAAGTGAATCTCCATGTATGTATTCTTGCTTTGACATTTATCGACCACTAGCCAAACTTGTGTCATTACATGTGCACCTCCACTGGATTATTGTGATTTTTTTATGTTTTAATTCTCTCCCAAGGCTATGCTTTGATTTTTTTCAAAATATTTTATTTATTTTTAGAGAGAGGGGAAAGAAGGGAGTAAGAGAGAGAAACATCAATTGACTGCCTCTCACATGCCTCAGCTGGGGGCCTGGCCTGCAACCCAGGCTTGTGCTCTGGGAATTGAAGTGGTGACCTTTCGGTCTGCAGGCCAGTGCTCAGTCCACTGAGCCACACCAGCCAGTGCTGTTTTGATTTTTTGAGAGAGGGAGAAACATCGATGTGGGAGAGAAACATCCATCTGTTGCAGCTCATGTGCACCCTGACCTGGGATTGAATCCACAACCTAGGTCTGTGCCTGGACCAGGAATCAAACCCATAACTTTTTGGTATATGGGCCAACACTCCAACCAGCTGAGACACCCAACCAAGGCAACCACCGGATTATTTTGAATAATCCTAAACATGTCATTTTACCATAAATATTACAGTATAAATCTCCAAAGAGATGAGAACTTAAAACCATAACTGTACTGCTATTGT